TGGAGTGTTGGGTGGGTGGATGGGCTAAATGGGTGATGGGCATTAAGGAGGGCACTTGTTGGGATGAGCAATGGGTATTATATGTAAGTGATGAGTCACTGAATTCTATTCCTGAAATCATTATTACACTACATGTTAATTAACTTGGATTTAATTTAATTTTAATAACAATAATAATAAATTATTAAAAAAAAACCGTGCTGTGCTGGATCAGTCAACCTTGGAACAGTCAACACTATCTCTGGCTGTCTTGGAATGTGATATGATACAGGCTACTATCATTTACACCACTTTTAATTGGATTTTTCTGGTACTTGCAGCCAAAAGCATCTTAACTGATACAACTGGTAGTAGCCCCCCCAACTCCTCACTCAAAAACCTCACTCCCAAACCTGTCCTTATAGCAGACATGAATTTAGATTTACAAGTTCACTTCTTACACTGCAAATATTCAAAGGTTAAGCCTATTAGTCACTCTCTCCTTACTATGAATTACTCTGGTCAGATTATCTTCCTCTCAAGACCATGGAGAGGAGAGAGGGACAATAGTGTGCAGCGAGAGGGAAGCATGAGGACACAAAATACCCGCAGTGGTCATAAAAGAAAGCACCAGAAGGCTATGTTTTTCCTCTCCCTTGTCTCCAAGTTTCTGGTGGCTAAGGTCACCCTAATGCCCCCTAGAAATCATTCTTCTCCTGCTAACACACACGACAACCTTTCTGGGGTTTTCATTCCTAAATATAAAATGAAATGAGCTTTCCAGTTAGGCTCTTCTTAGTTTTACAGAGAAGGGTGAGGCCAGGTAGGACACTTTTCCACCAGAGACCAAGCCCAGTGAGAAGGCAGTGCCACTGGTGCTGCTGTGAACGCTGATGTTGGACAGAGGTCACCTCGTTTCCGGCTTCTCTTCTAAAGGCGATGAGTACAGATCTCTGATCAGCCTTGCGACCCCAGCCCCAGCACTGCCACGGTCACTGTGCATGAGCCACTCTGTGTGTACTCGGCACACAGTTGTCAGGCTGTACTTCCCAAGAAAAGCATCTGATGCTTATCTCCAGGAGGAGGATGCCAAATCTTTATTACTGCTATTATTGCTATTGACCTGACAGCCACCGTTACTTAGAGAATGAGGCTCTGAGCACAGAAATGCCAGCAGCGGTTCTCCTAAACCAAGTGGGTCCTGATGGCACCACTGGGGACAGGAGTGGCTGCTGGGTCCCAGGACACCCAAGGATGCTCGGAGGCTCCCAGTTGACTCTCAAGTATGGCTGTTCCGTAGCCACTGACAGTTGCTCCAGAAAAGTTGGGTTTCCAGATGGATGCCCAGTGCCACTCGGGAACCCTGCTCCCAAGCCCTGGTCAGCTCCCTTTTCCATCACACAAAGCAGCTATTCCAAACCTTCACCCCCACCCTGGGCCTCCAATGCCACCTCCTACCCCCTCATTCTCAGCAGATGGTCTTGCCTCCTACTGCAGCGAAAAAAATAGAGGCTATCAGGCTGGTACAACTCAGCTGCCCACTTTCCCTCCATCATCCCCCTCTGCCCCACACACTCATCTGTGTGCAGCCTCACCATCTTCCTCTAGTTTCAATCTAGGCTGATTGGGGCTAATGCTTCCACCCACGTCCTTAGAGCCGAACCCCGAGAGTCTCCCCCAGAATCAGATCTGTCAGTTACTTCTCTTTCCTAGATCTCCAGTCCCCCCACACTCCATGGCCACCCTCCCCATCAGAAACAGCCTGCTCCAGTCCCCGCCTCTAATCCTGTGCTTTGCTCTAAGCACAACATGGTCCTCCCCAGTGTCATGGCCACATCTGAGAAGAGTGTTCTACATCAACTGTCTCCACTACCTGGGGCCTCAGTTTTCTCCCACCCCTTCACCCCATTCTCCTTGCTCCCTCCACAGGACTCCCCGTAACCAAATCCGAAAGGCCCTTTCCAGAGCTTTACTAATTTTATCTCCAATTTGACAGCACTGAGTAATACTGGCAGACTGTATTTCCCCAAATGGCTGCAACAATATCTCCCACTCTGATGCTCTTCTAGAACCTGGTCGCGCAGAGGGGGCTTTTATGACTCTTGTTCTTACCAACAGAGTAAGGAAGAAGTAGTGCTAGGCTAGGTCATAAAAGTGTCCTGTGCTTTCAGCCTTATTCTCGTGGGACGCTTGCTCTTTGAACCCAGCCACCATGCTGTGAGGAAGCCCAAACAGCCACAGGGAGGCCTACTCGGAAGGACCCAAGGCCCTGCCCACAGCCCCCACTGAGCTGCCAGCCATGTGAGCGAGCCACCTGGAAGCAGATCATCAGCCAGGCCCCCTCACTGGCACCGCATGAAACACTGGTGAGTCTCTCTACCAACCCTACCCGACTGCGGATTCATGAGCAAAGCACACGACCATTGTTTTAAGCTGCTGTTTTCTAACTCTCTTCTTGAATGGTTTCCATTGCATGTAGCAGCACTGGTCAGTCCTGGTCCTCCTTCAATCTCTCTGGCCTTGCCCTCTCCATTCCTGCGGGGGCTTATCTTCCTGGGTATACACCCCCCATGACGGTGTTCCTCACAGCTCTTCCCTTGCCCTCTCCTTTTCTCTTTGCCTGACCTTCCTAAGTGACCTCAACTACTCCCCCAGATTCAGCTACCTACCATGAGCGTCCCTGCTGTGAAATCCTACATCTCTATTTCCATCCTGAATGCAGACCAGCAGAGCGATCCCCATCCAATCTCCTGACCACAGTATCTTACACCTCACGGTGGTTCCACCACCCGTCCCCCCTTGTTCTGAGGTCATCCTGACGCTACTGATCTCATAAGAAACTGCATTTCCCAGGCTCCCTTGCTAACTGGCTTCCATCTAGGCTTGGCCAGATGGGGCAACACTGGCAAAACACTGAGGCAGGGCCTGTGGCTCCACCTCCCAGGTGATGGGCCCTACGGCTGTGATCGGCCTCCCAGAGGATCGGCTCATCGTGGGCCAGCTCCACTGGGTGGCCCCAGCTCCTGGGGTCCAGAGAACCATCTCTTCTCCTTGTCCCTACACCATGAGGGTGGCAGAGGCTTCCTGCAGTTGGTAACTGTTTCACCATCCCATTTGTCTTCTCTGCAATTCCATCCCCTGGGAGCCCCATTTTCTGTTTTTTTTTTTTTTTTAATTTTATTTATTTATTTTTGGGAGAGAGAGAGAGAGCATGAGCAAGGGAGGGGCAGAGAGGGAGACACAGAATCCAAAGCAGGCTCCAGGCCCTGAGCTGTCAGCACAGAACCTGATGCGGGGCTCAAACCCACAAACCGTGAGATCATGACCTGAGCCAAAGTCGGTCGCTTCACGGACTAAGCCACCCAGGCGCCCCAGCCCATTTTCTGCTTTAAATTCCCTCTGTTGGAAATACCTAGAGCAATTTTCCTTCCTCCCGACTGGACCCTGATGGATACACTGGTTAAAGGCATCCATATTTAATCATTTAAGCCAGAAATGTACAATTTGTTTTATTCTCCTCCTTTTCATTCATGCCAGTATTTGCTACCACCCCATGTAAAGCTGGTCACAAAGTCCTGAAGAGTCTGTCCCTCGAGCCCATCCCTCCCCTTCACTCCCATTCCCCTGCCTTGGTTCACAACAGTATTTCTGGTTCCGACCAGTACAGCAGCCCCTCCGTTAGTCTCCCTGGCTACAGTCTTTCTGCCTTCCAGTATATCCTCCAGACTGCCAACAGACTTTTGTTTCTAATGTACATCGGATCATGACATTCCCCTGATTTAAAATTCTTGAGTGGTTCCCCACGGACTACAGCAGAGAATCAGATCTGCTCAGTTCCACAGCAGTTCCATACTTGCTGCGTATACTGTTCTATGCCTTCGCCTGCAAGATAAGGCCCTCCGTGCTGTCCTGTCGATCTCCTCAGCCCCATCTGTAACCATTCCCAGACACATCACCTGAACCAGCTCAAGTTCTCCTCTAAGCACACCCTGTTTCTCTGAGACTCAGGCCTCGGCACAGGCTGGGCTATCCTTCCCCCACCTGGCTATCTCACCGGAGCCTCAGTGAAGCACCTCCCCAACCCAGGACGCCCCCAACAGACCAGGCACAGAGTTGACAGCACTGTGCACACACCCCTTTCATGGAGCTCATATCCCCACACGGTGGCTGTTTGTGTCCAGACCTGCCCTTCTGCTAAACAGGGATGAAGACAGAGCTTCCTCACTCCTGTGTCCCCAGCATCCATTGGTGCCTGATGCAAAAGACACCTTCCACGTGTGTGCGAAGTTTAGTCAAGGTAAGCTGAGGGAACAAACTAAGAGTCCAGAGTGAGGAAAGGAATGGAAGGGAGATAGCAGACAAGGGGAGGGACATGCTGGCAGGTTAAATGCACTGACCTCCCAGGCCGGGTGCTGGCTACCGCCCAGCCAGCACCTGGCTCACCCTCCCTTGCTCTGCAGACAGAGCTAGAAAAGTCCAGAGACACAGTCTTCCATCAGGGCTTTTCCCAGGAACGTTTTTAGGTAGACAAGCTTGTTCACTCAAAACATGGGAGATGAGCATACAGTCTACGTAAATATTTCTATGTGATCTTCCTGTCACTTCTACATCCCTGGGTTGACCACATGCTCCCTTCTGTTATAAATTAACAAATTAAGCCGTAACTTTTCTACCCCCAAGGAAATCACTTTTGGTTCATCTCATTTCTACAACATGCAACTGAGGTCTCCTTGGCCCCAACAGCTGCCCATCATGTTCTGAGACCATCCCCAGATAGTTCCTAGGAACAAATTAAGAAGCACTGACCAACCCAGCCAAGGGCCCACCCCACCCCCACCCCACCCCAGTCATAGCATAGTCACAACACTTCCTTTGTCATGGTCTCAAGTTTTCCTCTCCTGCCTTGCTGCTCAAAAGGTCACACTCCACCCAGCTGCCTTGAACCAGTGTCACAGGAGCCACCTAGTTTCCAGAGAAATATAGAATGAGGATAAAGGAAAGAGAAAGAGGAAGGCTCTCACCTCCATCAGGAGAATGTCCTTCGAGCTCTGAGCCTGTACCTTTGGATGCTGGACCTTCACAGCCACTGTCCGCCCATCATGCAGCACTGCCTTGTGGACCTGGGCCAGGGAGGCAGCCCCCAGGGGGGTGTCATCAAAGCTCATGAACAAATCATGGATCTGTCAAGAGTGGAGAGAGAATGGAGCAAATAAGATGACCCAGTTCAGTGAAAGGGGCCAAGAGGATGGGCCAGGGCCAGTGCTGCCTGATGCCCCGAAACAGACTTTCTGCTCCACCGGTTGTATGTCAACCCAGCACCTTGCCTGGGCTCCCTGCTGCCATGGAGATTCCCAGCAAGCATCTGGAGGGAGAGAGAAAACACATGTGGAGGGTGTGTCCCCATACACATGCATGGGTGCTCAGAGCACCTCCATTTAAGGCCAAAGAAGTGCTGTCTAGAATGTTCAGAATGGAGTACCGTCTGCTCATTTAATTATGCAACATTGCACCCCTGGGACTCTCATGCGCACACATAAAATCAAGAGTAAGCAGAACCAGGGCACCAGACAGCCCAAGGCAGGGATCAGATATTCCAACCAGCCAACATGGAGAGCTCAAGGGATCCCAGGCTGGAGACTCCAAACTTAACAGCCACCTCTTGTTCCTGCTGGAGCAGCAGGCTCAACATGGGTCCCCAAGCCCACTCTCGGCCAGTGGAGCCGAGACCCAGCAGGGACCCCATTGCCGCACACCCCAGCCTCACTTTTGGCCCCTACCTGCAATGCCACCCAAAGGGAGCCTTGGGCAAATCCCTTGCCCTTTGTCTATGAAATGGAACATGTACTCCTAACTTTTCTGTCTTCTCTTCTCTTCTTCCTTCCTTCCCTCTTAGAAATGCCATAACAAATTTTCCTAAAGGAAAAAAGTCTTTCTGACTTGAGTGGTCACACCTACATGGTCCAGATATGAATATTCTACCAGATGGGAAGGAAGTCCCCAAAAACCTCTTGCCAAAATGTCCAAGGCTGAAATTCTCACTCCCTCCATTTCTTTAAGTCCCTGTATAGCTTCCCAATCCTGGAAGGTCCAGACATTCTCACACACACACATAAGTGTGCCCATGCATGCTTAGTCCCAAGGCCCTCCTTCTCATGTCCCCCAGGCTCTCACACCCATTCAGTCTTCTTGCCGCCCCCCTTCTGCAGCAGGCACTCCACCCTGCCCCGCAGCCCCCTCCTCTCCTGGGGCTTCAGCAGTCAGACAGCCCATGGCCACCATCCCATCCCTCTGTTTGCTAGGCTGCACTAGGAGCTTGCTAATCTCCCTCATAAATCACTCCCTCCAGCCCTGTCATCATTTCTGTATCTTTCACTAAACTCCATCCCATTTATCAACATCCTTTGGAGGTCAAAGGTCCAGGCAACATGGGAGGGGCCCACACTTCTGTCACAGGAGATGGGTATGGATTGGCTTCCCTGTCCCCCTTCTTCTTCCTGGGTTTTTATTTGTACTCCTCCCAGTGCCTATTTACCCGCCTCCTTCCCCAACCATATACTTGTCTCTTTCCCTCCCTCCTGAGTTCAAGGCTCCCTGAGGGCCAGATTCTCCCTTACATCAATCACCCCAAGTCTCCCCATACAAGAACCCTTTATTCTGGACTTGGGCTTGGATGGGGAGAATGAAAGAACCACCATCCTGTAAACCTCATCAGAACATCTGCTTCAGGTGGGCAGGGATTTTTGTCCGTCTTGTTAGCTGTCGAATTCCCTGCACTTAGAAGAGCCCCAGAACCAGTTGGTGCCAAACACATATTTGTTGAAAGACTGAATCCACTATTCTCTCCATTGGAGAGGAACTGAATCAACTCTTTCTTCCTTTTGAAATGGCTGGGCCTTCCTGCTCCCACACTCCTACTAATCCAAAATCCTCAAATGTAAAAGCACATGTCCTGTATGGGATTTACCTAGGTGGACTCCCCCTGTTACTCCAGGGCAGGTATGAGACCCCAGCCTGGTCGATCAGAACCCTGAATACCCTGGGTCACACTGACTGGTTCAGAGATGGACAGGTGACCCAACTGATCCAATCAGACTCAACTGTTTTACTTCTGTTTGAACTGTAGGAGAAGAGATTTTTTTCTTTCTGCTGAAATTGAACGTAAAAATTGAACTTGAAGTCTGGAGCTATCAGGAATCGCAATAGCAAAAAGAAGAAAGCAGAGACAAGAGATAGAGAGTGAATCCATGGTTGAGCCCCTTGATCTAGCCATGCCTGAATACCCACCCTATAATTCCTTTTTCTCCTTAAGTCAGTTTGAGTTGTTTTCTGTCACATAGGACTAGAGGGGCTCTGATATTTCTTGGGCCCCATCTGGGGTAGATGAAAGAAACATGAGCATGGTGCCCAGCACCCCCAAGAGGCTCAGTAAACGTGAGTTCCATGGCCTCCCCTCTCTCCTCTCCTCGGTGGCCTCTTGCTGGGACAGAGATCCAGGAATAGAAGGGAGGGAGAGCTTCCGCAATATTCCTGGCCATTACATAATGAAATCAACAACAACTTCCTTTAGAAACCCTCTGGCTGTTCCTAAAGGAGCACCAAGGAGAACGTTTTCTGGAGCATTTCTGTGAACTCAGACCCTCATCTCCCAGGCAGCTGGAACGGCCCCATCTTCCCACTGCAAAGGGACTTGGGGGTCATCTGACCCCACTCCCCACCCCAAGCCTCCACCTGGCTTCCTGGGAACATTTGCTCATTTTCTAAGGACAGCCAGTCTTCAAATCAGTGTCATTGCGGGGACGCTGCAGAGTCATTGCAACTGAAGAGTGACATGGCATCACTAGGGCTGTGTGGCAAGAACAGCTGCCAGGAGCACTCCAGGGAGAGGTGAAGGGAGGAAAGGGCTGAGGCAAGCATATCCCAATCTCCAGGGGGAGAGGAAGCCTGGCCCACCATCTCCCCAGGGAACAAGATAGGGGCCTCCCACAATCCCCTGCTCCTACCAGGGGATACAGGGGGTCCAGAGCTTAGGATACCACCCAAACTCAGGTGCCTCAACTCAGCACCCTGAACAAGGCCCAGCTGTGAGGACCTGCCCTAATCCCCAATTTGACCGATGGAGGCAAAGAGAGGCATGGGGAATGAAGAGGCACCACTCACTCTGCACAGGGAACCTGCTGGGCACATCCCCTCCTCACCCCACCCCTGCCCACCCACCACCTCCCAGGGCCCCTGCAGCCATCCTTTCCCCTCTATCAGGAACCAAGTCACACACCCACACCTTCCTGTGCTTACACACACACACACACACACACACACACACACACACACACACACACACACACACACACACACACACACACACACACACACAATTGATTGCTAGTGAATGTTCCTAGCTGGCTTACAAAAAAGGTAATTAAAGATTGGTGCTACAGCCTGTAATTAAATATGAATAAAGTATCTCTAAACGGAACCTGATTCAAAGTATTCAGTGCAAGTACTTTGTGCTGATAGATAGTAAGGAAAAATAGACACTGTCCCGAAAGCAGAATTACGCCCCCCACGTGGCTGACACAAACACCACCCCCTCCAGTCAGGCCCCGGCCCCCAGCCCTCTGAGCAGAAAGCCATTAGCGGAGGCCAACGGCAGCATGCACAGCAATTAGAGTGGAGCGGGGCCCTGAGCTGCCTCAGTCCCTCACACAAACCTGTCTCCCCTTCTAGGGCTTTCTTTCCCTCACTCCTCTTTCTTTCCTGGGGGTCTGGCAGCAAAATCAATTAAGTAAGACAACTGCATTTTAAAATGACAAGCTGTGCTTTTTAATTACTGTCAGCCCATGATTCAAATATACTGATGTCCCTGTCTAGAAAAGGAAAAATAATCAAGAAAAAAGTTTCTCTAGCTTTGTATTATCTGGTTTTTCAGGGTACGTGTGTGTGTGTGTGTGTGTGTATGTGTGTGCGTGCAAATGTAAGGGGCGGTGTTTGTTTTTTTATGAGCAGAAAACATCAGAAGGGCAAGAAGAAATGTGTCTTCCCCCACAGGCTCAGGTTAAGACTTCAGTGGGCTGGCGTCAGCTGGGGTCCAGGAAACCGAGGCCACATGACATCATACCCAGGTACAGGACAGAGTGTGAGACTCTCTGGGAAGTTAGGTCTGCAGATTCTCATGAAGCCAGTTTTCTGGATAAATGTTTCCAAAATGCCACACTGGGCAGCCAAGCACTGGCCAGGGTCCTCATTTCACCCAAAATAAGGTAAGAGGGTGAGGATCTTCTGTAAACACCATAGTAGGACTCCTGGGGAGGAGTTTCACATAAGTCTCTCAGCTGGCCAGCCTCAGGCCCCTCACCAGCCACAGGAAGGGGGATGTCCTGGATTTTCCAAGATGGCCCAAATTCAAATATCCCATCCTGGCATCCCCATAGTCATGCACATCGGACCTATTCTGGATTTACTACATCAAGCTACATTGACCTAAGATAATGCCAACAAATCGAACAAACCCACAACTGGCTGGCTCCGGTTGAAGACAGGAGCTTGCCTCAAAGCAGGCAAGTCCAGGCCTAGCTGCCAAGGCCAAGCAGCTCCCACTTAGGAGTTGGGAAGACTGCCCAGGGCACCTGGGGAAGGTTACCATGGCATCAGCAGCAAACAACATCTGGATCTCGAGGTCTAGAGATGCCCCCCTCCCCGTGCCTGACTGGGTGCCAGCAGCCATCCACTACAGTCTGATGAGGAGAGGGACAAGTCCCTGTACTAATGGAGTAGCTGGAGTGAACCTACCCCACCCTGAGCCTGAGGCAGACAAGACAGGCCCAGCTACCAAGGACTCTGCAAAGCACAGACTGCCTTGAACAGAAAACCCACCATCACATCCTATATGCCGTTGCTTAAAACCCACCCAATCCTTCCTCTTGTCACTGTTTCCCAGGGACCTGCCCCAGGCATGCCTCCATCTCACAGTCACCCTGTCGGCTGATACCCCACTTTGCTGCAATTCCTTCTCCCTGTTAAACATGCCTGGTTTATATCCCACCTGTTCAGGGTCATTCCTGCACCTTGTAAGTAACACATGATGCTGACAGCAAATAGGTGGCACATGGTCCTCTCATTCCCCCTGCAGTGGTTTTAAAATAAGTCCACAGGTACTTAACAACTCCTCCCTTTGAGAGGTGCA